CCCCGCTTCAGACCTGAACGTACCTGCGGGGCGGGCAGGCAGACTCTGCGCATGCCCTCCGAGCCTGAGTGCAGGCCGGGGTACTTGGGCTCSTGCAGGGCCGGGTGCATGGAGAAGTGCTGCTTGCCGTTCATGGTCATCATCATCATCATCCTCCTCCTCCTCCGCCTCCTCCTCCCCGCAATGAGGCCCTCGCGAGCAGTGTGGCCCCTGACATGAAAGAAAAAAAAAAAAAGAACAACTCGCAGGTTTGGGCTCGGGGAGGTGTGCGGGACAGCAGAGCTCCCCTCTGGTCTCCTCCTTCACCAGACTGAGCTGCTCACATCCGCAGCGCCCTCCCGGCATCCCTCTTCCTCCTCCTCCTCCTCCTCCTCCTCCTCGTCTTTCAGCCTCCCTCCCTCCTCCTCCCACCTGCTCAGGTTGCAACAGTCCGGCCCTGCAGAAGATAAACTCCACAAACTTTACTTTCTTTATTGAGCATTGGAACATTTGAAGGGTGCAAATTGCTGCTCAAAGTTTCTAACATAAACCTTGCATAAAATATAAAAAACATCTGTTTTGAAGCTCTTTGAAGTTCAAAATAAACATTACAGTTGCTTCCATTGGTTCATGTAAGCATCCACCCCCTGTAACACTTCTACAAAAAGCAGAGTGGCTAACTTAAAAGTAAGCCTAAAACAAACAGCTGCTGTATCAACACTCATGCTTTAAATTCTAAGTTTTGACCTTAATCTCATCAGGTCAGCCAGTCCAGAACTAATTTTCATTTTTCAAGAAGGAGCTGGCCAAGAGGCAGCAAAGAGCAGAAGAGAATCAGACAGCCAGACATCAAATCATACAGACCAAACATGGATAATTAAATCATCTGGTGAGAAAGAATGCAACTACAGAATGTGAAAATGAGATTATTTAAAGCATGTGCAATGATCACGAAGTGATGCTCTGTCTAAGTTTTAAAAATATGAAAAAGAGATAAAACAAGTGAGCTTTGTGAGGAAAATTAAAACAATAAAAGGCAAAGTATGCACTTTAATGCTGTGTTTTTGTCACAATTTTGAAGGTTCAGACCACTGAAATGTTAAGGTGATTGTTTTATTTACTTAATACATGTTATTTATTATTAATATAGATCCACTGATTCACAACTCAAAAGTTAGTGTGTAAAATCAATATTCAATTAAACATTTTGTGGGGAAAAAAATCTATAAAAATCATCGGAGGGCCTCTTCATGCGACCTGTTCAAAGTCTGATGTTCCTGCTGTAAAGAATGTTTTTAATTCAACAAAACATCACTTTGAATTGACCGCACTGTTCCTTTAATAAAGAGCTGGAAACTGATGACAAAGCTAGTTGTTTATATAATTTTTTTATTAAGTATGGTTTAGTTTAACTTTTTTTTGTCTAAACTTTGTTAATTTTCAGAGTTTAACTCATAAAGCAGAGTTTACAGCAGTTTTCCAGCGATTTCAGCACCATGGACAGCTCCACTCAGCCTGACCTCACACTAAACATCGGTCAATATAACAAAAAACGGTTTGATTTCACCAACTCTAAACTTTAGGCCTAAAGCTGACCCCTAACTGCGTTGCCCCCCACCCTACCCTCATGTGACTGCTGGTTAAAAACCCATAACCAGTTGGGCGGCGGGCCAAAAGAGGAGCCACGAGGGCAGAGGCGTGCAGGTGACACACCGGGTCAATCTGATCCTGCCGGCCGCCTCTCCTGTTCCCCAGACTTTCAATAATTCAGCAGCACGGTGGCAGGCATCCATTACCAGCGTGGCATCTTCTTATTCATTACGCAGATTAAAAGCAGCTGCGTGCAAACCTGTAGCAGCCAGGTGAACTCTGGAGTCCTGCATGCTGCTGGAGCACACAGGTTTAAAAACWGAAGCCTGCAGAGATCATCTTTAAGTTTTAAACCCGGCCTTATTTCTTTATAGTTTGTTTATGAAGACACCCAATTCCAGACTTTTAGAAATCCTGCATGTAAATACCATATTTTACACATATGAAATAAAAGACAAAAGAAATACTTCAACAAACTTTCGCACAACGTGCAAAATAAAGGAGACCACACAAGAGTTTCAGGTTGTTTTCTGGAATGCCTTTGCTTGTTATTTTTTTCTTCTTTTCGCGTGTCCAATCTTCTCTTTTCTTTTTGAAACTTTTTCTTTTCTTTTCATGACCAATTTTAATCTTTTTRCCCCTCTCCTTTCTTTGATTATCTTACAAGCGCCCCCATTCCTTCATCTTTATTGGCAAAAGCAAACATGCTAGTAAATTATAAATTCATTTTTTTAAACAAACAAAATACATGAATAAAATACATACACATCCTGCAAATATAAACAGTAACAAATCCAAAACTATTATCCAATAAACATTTTACATTTTATACACTGTTTCTGTGATAGTAGCATACAGAGGGTAGTACAAAAACAAAACAAAAACAAATCGTGGTGAGTAGACCCTCTGAATCCTCATTTATACAAGCAGGAAACGTCTGTTCGATATTTGAACCAGTTTGTGACACAATGAAGCGAATGTTCATCCTTTCACCACAAACTTGCTTTAGACAGACATGGAGGACAAACGTGCAGTGGTGCCAGTGTGTTAAAAAATAATCTAGTATGGGTTTATTCACATGCAGGCAGAAGCATCCATGTGAGATTTCCTGCTTAAAGTAGTGAAACTCGAAAAAGTTAAACTCTTCTCTTTGTTTTGGTTTGATATGATGAGTCGACTCAATGTCTGGTAAACTTAAACTTTTTTTTTTCGTTAAGGAGCAACAACCGTATTRATCTTTTATAGTAAACATTCCAAAGGATTTAGCTCCTCCCATTCTAATCACTCAAGGGAAAAAGGTCAAAAGTCAAATGCTAGCAATTCAACTTGAACTCTTATGGATTTTAACTGAGGCAATGCTCCACTTGTGCAAAATTAAAAAGGTTTGGTGCATAACTATGTGGTTTTTGATTCGTTGAAGAAAAGTGTTTAAACTCAAAGCAGCTCTGGATGCCTTAAAACATTTGTGCTACTTATGACAGCTATAAGAACAAACAAAACAAGATGTTTAGCCAAAAAATAAAAAAAACGCTGAATTTTTGCAAATAAGCAGCCAAGCACTCATGTTTGACCTCTTCTACTTGATGCGACACATCGTTTTAAGTGAAATGACAAAAATCAAACCCAGAAAAACAAACAAAAAAGTACAATAATTTCTTTTTCAAGCATTTACAAAATTTACAAAAGGAAATCACAAATCCTGTAAAAACTCAGTCTGCTGACTGTAAGGCAAAGAAATTATATTCTCTCTTTTTTTAATATTAAAAATCAATTGTTRAGCATTACATTCACACCCATCTATGGATGTCACATTTCTGAAATGGATGATCCAACCTCTCTGTCCTTTGACAGAGAGGAACAAGTGAAAGTGTTTTACACTCTTAGAAATTGTGCAACACCTGTGTCGGTGTGTATTCACAACGAGTGGCACTGGAAACCGAGGGAGAAATGAAAATAGAGGGAGAGATTTGGAAAACATGCTACAAGACTGTCTGGTGTACATCTGTAAACATCGTCTGGTTATTCTGTTGCATCTTCAGTACCTGCACCCTGATGTCATCACGGTGCGAGAGCACCTGGATGTGCCCAGGTTAGGTTGCTCCATATGAGAAATCCAACATGCACAAGCCAACATGGATCTTTGCTTGCACGAAGAGTTCTAATCAAAATTAGTTGGATCTTTTAACATTTTAGGGCAAACCGATGTGAAAAAGAAAAAAGAAAAACTGTGAGCTGAGTGAAATTGAAATCCATCCCACACTCTGTCAGTACGACACAGTGCAGCATTGTGGTGGAAGAATAAATAAATCATTCTCAAAGCGACAGAAAACTGCTGATGGAATGGCTGTCCCTGAATCAGGGACAAGATTTTACAAAAAAAAAAAAAAAGAAAGAAATGGTGAGAAAATGAGCTTAAATACAGTATGTATAAAAATACCTATTCACAGTAGACACAAATGTTGTGCATTACTGATATTAATCATCTGGTAAGCACACTAAAACTTATATAGATTCTCCTATCTATAAGAACAACTCAACATTTATCATTCTCAGCAAAAGTGAGATGTTTTAAACTATCGTTTCATCGAGGGAAGCAAAAATCGTATCAACCCTCAAAGTTTTTTTTTGTAATTTTTGGATTACAATAAAGTAAAAAGAGCTTCTTTGATTGAAGTCTAAAATTACTGTAAAGACAAAAAATATAATAAAATAAAGAGGGCTTTTTTATTAATTAGGGATAACAAAATCAGGTTTTGCCAGAGAGCATTTCTATCGTCTCCAAGACCGGCTCTCGTAGTCTTCGTCCTCATCATCGTCCTCCTCCTCTTCCTCGTCCTCTCCCCGCTCCTCCTCTCCTGGCAAATATGAGCTCGCTTCCTTCTGTTCAAAAGAAAACACATCATTGTAACTTTGATATTTGTCACTTTCCAAATAGTTCCTTATCTCTTATACTTGCTGCTACAACATTACTGAGGAGATTTAATAAATTATATAGTCAAAAGTCCAAATCTGGTTTATAGATAAGGTCAAAGGTCAGGAACAAATACACGTAAGCAAATCCTGTTGATTAAATGAGTGTACACCCTCAAAAATATGCTTAGCTCAATTACTTTTATATCTCAATAAAATAAATTATAAACATAATAAATAAACTGGACTTAAAGGCAACATGACACTGTAATACCAACATTAATAAATTTTAATGTCTCAGAACATAAGAGTAACGTAGTGTGAAAATGAGCTGCTTAAACCCTGGTGCAAAAAAGGAACTGTTTCTTTTTAACAAAACAAGCATTTTACTACATTTATTGGTGAGAATGGATGGACAGAGACATGTGGTGAGGTCAACATAAACATATTTCTGTGTCAACTCATCTTTGAAAACTCAGTTACGAAAACATCTTTGAAAACTTTGCCCATTTCAAAAATTCCACTGTGGTGTCCCAAAAACAACATTGTTCCCGTTGCCTTAATTTTTCTATAATGGCACAGAAACTATAACCTGCCATGTACAACTCCAGAACACAGCTTAATTAGCTGCAGAAACAAAAGTTACCTGCAATTACAAACAACTGCCTGCACAAAAAGACACATGTTAGGTGTAAACGCTCAGAAATCAGAGCGAACGCAACTGAAAAATTCTCCCATTTTCCTTCCATTTCTCACAATTCTGAGTCACCAACTAGTCTCTGAGGACACGGGCTCGCTCCCTCGCCATGTGCACTCTTAAAGGAGCCTCACCACTCTTTAATGTATTGTTCCAGTGCATGTCGATGTGATGCAAGTGATAAGACGAGCATCTTTACAAACACCACCTCCAAACCTCATGAAACTACAGTATGAGGGTTCCACCTGACAGTCAGGCTGTTTTACTCCAGGGACTGAGATGCTCTTAGCACTCACGGCTCGCTCGGATTTCGCCGTGGCAGTTAGCGGCAGTGAAAAATTCAGAAGCACAAATGTGAATTAAACTAAAACTGCTAAATACAAAGTTTCCCCACTTTAAAGTTTAAGTCACAGAAACTTCCCTTTCTGACTAAATGAAAGTAAAAAGGTATGAAATCTGCTCTAAACCACCTCCATGTTTGTTTGTTTGTGTCTTGTACCGTATTGTCCTCGTCTTTAGTGACTTCCTCCTCTGGCTCAGTTGTAACAGAGGCCGTCTTGGGCTTGTACCAGGATATCTGCAGAACACGACCTTTGAACTTAGCTCCCTGATTGGCTGCCTAGGATTCAAAAAAGGAGGGAGGGTAGAATTAGAAATTAAAGCTTTCATGGATTAAATTTAACAGAATATGACAGAAAAGAGAAAAGCAGAGGGTCTAGTTTACTTACATTCTCTGCTTCACTTCGTGTTTTAAAGGTCATGATGACGCTGTTGGCATCTTGGTCACGAAGTTCTTCGATTTCACCAAATTTCTAAAAAGGAAAAAAAAAACAAGGTAAAATATCAAAAATAATGTTTAGAACTCAAAATAAATAAATAAATAAATAAATAAATAAATGTCTGTTTTCTCACCACAAAATGTGGCATTAGTTCTTCCTTCTCTTCCTGCGTGACTCCTAAAATAGCGAGGGCTCTGGGTCTGTGGTCCACCACCATTCGGTTCACAAGCCCACCACGGGACCCCATTTCCCGGCTTCGGCTCCTGCCTCGGCCCCCGTGTATCGCGCCGGATTCCGGTGCCATTTTCCCCCGGCCTCGGCCTCGTCCAGCCGGAGGTCGAATCAGACCCAGCCGTGTCGCCTAAAGCAGAGAAAGATGAAATGATCTTATTATGATCATGATTAAAGTGCAATAAAACAGTAAAAGTACAACATTTATCCTCTAAAATCTTCAGCGTTTGGGAAAAAACAAAAACAAAACAGAAAAAAAAACTACATGTTCTAGTCTGTTTACCAGCTCTGCCCGCCCCCTCACCATTAGTTGTTACTCCTTCATTTTTAAAAAGGACATCTTACGTTTTAACCACCTAACAACCTCACAGCCACTCTCCTCTCCCATTTGTCTCCGCCTCGCTTGCACCTTTAATTGTCATCCTGCAATTTCCTCACACGGACCGGCGAGTCAAACTTTAATGAGACGGGGCTCCATCAGTGTAAGGACTTGTGTCTGATTCGGCTTCGTTAGCGGATGCTCCTTTGGGCTTGCTTAAGTGGCTGCGGTGTAATGTGCAGAAGGAGGTTTGGGCTTGAATGGATTGGGCAGGACGGTACAGAGTTTATGCATTTTTAAGAGCAAGCTAATTATGTGCACTTGGGATAAAAGGAGAAGAAGAAAACTGGGAGTTACGACCAGAAACTATGTTATTATCCTTTCAAAAAAAAGACATTTATTGTGAGTTGACATGTGGACTCATTATTTTTAAAGATGGACTTTAACCGTGGGTTACAACATGTTGTTCAGATTGCAGTTTTAGTGTGGTTATTGTGTTGTGTTTCTGTGTGTTTTACCTCTACTTGCAGCTGCCCCAGTTTCCTCTTGAGGTCTGTTGTGTCCTCTCCAGAGCTCATCTTCTTGTGAAAGTCGAGCTCAGCGTCAAGCAACTCCTTCTGAGCCTGGAAACAAATCACACAAAATAAAAACTGTTCATTAATACCGAAAGTTCTGAAACGACAACAAAAGATTACGACAACAGTTTGCAATTTTTAAATGAAATAAAAGCATACAGAAATATGGAGAAGCCTTAGCTCTGTGTCAAACTAAACTTACATCAGTCTTGGTTTTGGGCTGGCTGTGGCTGGTTTTACCACTGGGGGCCTGCGGGGCAGGGTTCATTTCATTCTGCAGCTGGGTGATCTTCTCTGTTAGCTCCTTCAGGGTTTTCATGATGTTGGCCCTCTCCTCAGGCTTCATACTGCGATTCTTCTCAAGACGGTTGATCAGTACCTGCAAAAAGAAGAGAAGAGATCAGTTGTGTAAAAAGACGAGAGAAACCGACAGACATAAAGAGGAGAATGTTCAACCTTCTGACACTCGATTTGTGCCTTCAGCATCTCTTGCTTCTTCTTCCTCATGTCCTGTTGGAGTTTTAATGCCTCCTGGATGAATAAAAAACAATTTAAAACACACCATCTTCTGTTAAAGAACATTTCAGTCCATACACAAAACCTGTGTAACATTAGACAGCCTTCAAAGACACAAATGTCTAATTCAAACTTTGTGTTTCTTGCAGCAGTAAAAAAACAACACATGCCTGCTTCTTCTTTAAAGCTTCCTGAGCTTCCAGTGCTTTTCCTGTTTTCCCAAGGCTCTTCGAGGAGGACTTGTGGGCTGTGGAAGAGTAAGGGATCTTCTGGGTGTTAGGCGCCACCTAAGTGTTATACATACACAAAATGAAAGTGACATGTTTACAGACAGCTGCATTCTTTAACCCAATGAGCAATTAATTACTAGTCAACAACAACTAAATCAATGAAATATTAGTGTTAGAATGATAAACAACAAACAACACTGTGATAAGATAATCTTCTCAACAGTTTACTTCATTACGTTTGCAAAAATAAAACTCCTGAATAAAAATCATGTAAAAACAGTTGTTGCCACTAAGCTGTTCCTAGCTGTGTTTCAGAACAGTACCATCAACATTTGGTTGAAAACACAATAGATTAAAAAAAAAGACCAAACCGTACATTAACTGCGTCTGAGTTTGGATTCAGTGCATCTGTCTTTGTTGTATTTAGGTGATGTTTGGGTACAGTCTTGTTCAACACGTAGGCGGCTGGATTGTGCTGCTTGATCCCCTGCAGAGACACCACAATGTAAAGAGAGGAGAAGAAAGGTGAGTTAATTAGACTCGTTTCATAGACAACGATGAAAGCAGCAGTGTTTYTTCTCTGTCTTTATGCTGACCTTATGCATGTTGCCGTGCTGCAGTCCCTGGTTGGGGGCCAACCCGGCCAGCTGGACCCCTGAGCTCTGCTCCGGAGGACCTGTGGTGGTGGTGCTGAGCTCGCGGTGCCAGTGCACGCGGATGAAGCGGTTGTTGAGGACGGCCTCGATGCTGGATATAGCCCGTCTGGCTTCCTCGTTRTTCGTGTACTGGATCAATGCCGCCTCTGGGTCGCCACCAAACACAACCTGGTTTGTTAYCAGAGGGAACGGGTCAGCTGTCCGTTTACGAAAAAAGAAAGTTCTCCTGGTTTGAACTTGATAAAGTTAGTCAAAATGGGACATTGAATAAAAAAACAATTAAATCTTATTGTCAATGGAGACTAAAAAAAACACTTTTTATTTACAATTACGTTTCAAACAGTTTTAAACTGTTTTGGGAGAAGCGTTCGGGTACCCTTTCTACTTTAAAATTTGCCCGTCTCTTGTTCAAAAGAACGACCCTGTACCTGTATGTTGACYATGGTTCCAAACTTGCTGAAGTGCTCGTTGAGTTTGGTGATGTTGTTGAGGTCCCGTGGGATCTTGCGCACCTCCAGCTTGGTGTTCACGTAGTGATTTCTCTTTGGAAAAACACTCATCTTATCTTGGTTGGTAAAGCTGGGTCTGAAAACAACAAAACAGGATAGTGATGTTGGGAATTTCAAGACTTAAGACTTGAGATGTTTTTTGGCCTGCGGGTTAGCAGAAATATTGATTACAAGTAGAGTAGCTGCTCAACATTTAGCCGGACTGGTTTATCTACACATAAGAACTGTTGTGCACAGAGTTTAAAAGTCCTGTGACAATTCAATACATTCCTTTTATCCTGGGGTAAAGCTTGCAAAACTATCACAAATCCTATTTTTATTTTACAGAAAAGAGCACTAAGAATTATTCCTAGAAAAAATTACAGTCATCCATCAAATATATTGTTTTATGAATTGAAATTATTAAAATTCTATGATTTGGTCGATTTTAATATTTTGCTGTTAATGTACAGAGCTCATAAA